GCACCTGCAGCTATTGGCATACAACAAGGAAACATGAAAAATCAGGGAACTGAACAAGGATTACTACAGATGGATCATGAGAAAGAGATGTCTGTAGAGTAATAGTTCATTTTCCATCCATGTTTAGTACAGTTCTGATATTGCCATTGCTCTTCCAAGTCATACGTTTCTAGTCAAAACTGTAATCATGTTTCTTTCCAAAGGATGCTTTTTTGGGAAACTTTCCACTGGCAACAAGGGGAAATCAGGCTTTAATTTGGAGGTAGGATGGTGTTTTTCAAGCAACATCCCAATTTCTGCTTACAAGCATTTACTCAGATCTACTTTGTGGACCTCTTCCACTACAGATTATGCTCATTCTACAGTCTACAAAGAGTGATATAATATTTTTTAGAAATTTTTTCAGGAAAATAGCCAGCATATCCTTCAGAGACGAGACAAACATGGAGTGCAATGCACTGTCTGATTTTCCTCCTAGTAATGGCAAATGTCCCAGATTTGTAAACTTTAAACTTTGTCTCTCAGGAGACTGAAATACATAATTCCAAGAGCTTCAGAAATAAGCAAAACCTAAGTTTCTGATGTATCTGCGCTTTGAAGATGATGGGCTTTGGAGACTACAAAGAAGACCTAACTGAGGCTTCTTCTGTGGGAGGGTCACTTAAGGCTGACACTGATATCAAGCAAAATGAAGCATTTCCTCTTAGTCCAGGGACTCATATCAGTATTTTCCTACAAGTTAATTAACTTCTAGACTTGGATGCTTTGTGACATTTCTTTGCACCTAACCATTGGTTCATGAACAGAAACACCACATATGCACATTCACATGCATTCACGGACCAGCGTGTGTTCAACACCTACTAAAGCTTTGTGTCTCTAAGAACTAGTTCTTAGAAGCACACAGACTTAAGGTTTCTCACTCTGCAGATGAAAACACAGAATTATATCAAATGTTTGCTAAATGATCTCAAACATTTTTCAGAATAGACAATTTAATTATTTTTCTATTCCTCTGAGAGTCTTCAAATCATATTTTAAAAAGCTACATAAGCATTGTTTATAGTCATAGTTTATTTCATCCATAAAATTTAGCCATTTAAATCCCATACATTTGATTCATCCTTTTATATCAGATAAACTTGCAATGAACTTGTGATTCTTCAGGGTCTGCACCAGTGGGCTGTTTTCAGTTTAAACAGCTGTGTTGTTACAATTTCTTTTCACATACGACTTGAGGGTACTCATTTGCTTCACAATTAAAAGCATAACACCTACAAATGTTCAGCTAACCAGATTGTTAATTGGTATGTTTGCTTTACGCTTTCTTGTACAAACAGAAAATATTCCTCCTGAAACTGAATAGTTCAAAGGTTCACATGTTATCTTCCTAGCATTTCTCAGGTTACTCACTTTTTACTTTTCCCTCTCCTCAGTGTCCAGAGATGTTACCGATAAAGGTTTGCACACCCTGTGTTAGCTCTTCTATTCTCTGCTCCTATGAAAGCTTTTGCCTTTGCAGAAATCAGTGCTGAATGTTTTCTTCAGAGGTAGCCAGGAAAAACTGAGCTAGCTTTAGAGCAAAACCAGCAGAAACAAAGAAAGTAATCTTATGTTTGTAATAAACTGAAATAGAGTGAAAAAATGTTATAAAATACAACACCTTACTATTATTATTTGTGATACTTAAGATCAGTACTTGTTTTTGTTAGTTCTTGGTGTATATGCCTGAAATTCTCCATTGGCATGTTACTTTTCCTTTCACCTCTCCTAATATTTCTATCCAGTTCATCTGAATCCTCAAATTCCCTTAAGATTGTCTTTAGATAAAATTGGAAGCATAACCCCTTGATAAATGGGAGCATTCCTCTGTAACCATACAATACAATGCCAGCACTTCTGTCATCTGATTTCTGAGTGGAATTTAATCTATCAGCTGTGAATAGCTTATGACCTGTCCCATAATGTGGGATTCATCTAACTAAATGTAGATGTAGCCGAGCCAGTCCCTCATGATAGTCAACAGAGATGAATGGGAACTTTCAGGGTTCATTTCACCTCATGCCAAAGTAGACATAAAGGGCGTTTGCATTGCAATCTGCCTTTGTGTATTTTCCTCCATGTAAAAAATTGGAGAAATTGCTTATTTTTCTCCATTATCTTTTGCAATGAGACTTAGGCTGATTAGCTCAGATGCCTACGCCTCTGTTGAGTTAGGATTGCAATAACCAGAGACCACTTCTTTTCTCTGAAACATCACATAATTTTCACTCAAGTTTCTCCTTGACCATGCTCTTCTCAAGTGACAGCTGTTTAAAAGTGGCCAGTAAACGCTCAAAACTCCGGACTTCCTTCTAGCCTCTTGGGCAGCAGCCCAAACACGCTGCCAAACTCATTAGTTCCTGTAGAATTGTGCGAGGGTTAAGAAGTCCTTAGAAACCCATTTCCTAAGACACAATCTATAACCTTGATGTCTCAATCAAGGGTAAAGCTTATTTATCAACAACACAAGAAAGAACTTCCAGTTTAGGTGTTCTTTTACTGACCACCTGCTTGACCTTGGTTTACCCACAGAACATAAATGCTTCTCCACTGACACTGCGTGGGATTGTCAATGAAGTCAATGAATATAAAGTATTATCAACAGCTACAATTGTTCATGAGCACACATATTTAGAGAGATCATTTTTTGGTTAAACACTTGTTTTCTGTCTCCCATTCACATACTTAAAGCCCTTGTCAGAAGTCCTGTTTAAAGTCTAGTATAACTTGTGGGTTGCCGTCTCCTTTGGCTGATAATGCTCAGCAGCAACTGACATGTCCCCAAAAGATTCACAACTTAGAAAGAATTTCTGGAAATATGCAGAACTTCTCAGCTAGCCTACATGTTTGGAAGATGCCATTAACCAACTCTGGCATATGAGCTAAACACAGCAGCGTTTAACGATGTACTGTTCAGAATGAAAATGGGAATGCTGAGGATGATGCTGCATGTCAGCACACATGACGAGAAGGCAAAGGTCATGGTGCAAGGCAGATGACAGCAGCTCTGATGACAGCATCCTCATGCTCGGGACTGATATATTCAGCAAAGGTGGACTTGGCAGACAGCCACACATCACAGGAACCAGTACTTTGCATTGGAATGAACTTCAGAGTGCTGTTAAAAAGGGCTGCTAGTCTCACTTTTGAAGCCTAGGCTCAGTTTACCGAAAAACTGGAGAGACGAGGAGCCTGTAAAGTCCAACTACAGTGCTTACACCAAACAATATACTACTAACACGATGTTTGGGGATAACCGGGTTTTGATAGGAGTCTAATTTTTACTTTCTTACTTCCAAATTAATAGAAGCACATCTTTCCTCCCCTCTCAAAATAACTACAGTATAAAATCAGTCTTTGTAAGAAAAAATACTGCAATTTTATGGAACAACACAAGATTAACAATTATTTATTAAAATACATCATTAAAATTGCATTTGAATTATACAGAGTTAAACAATTAGCAAAACAATCTGAAGACTCTGAACTATGGAAAATCCTGGAAAAAATAAGAAATTCTAATAGGCAATTTCTAAAAATTCAGCTGGCCTACTGCATTAAATACAAACAGTGATCACAAAGCAAAACTGGTTAAAAAACCCTACAGCATACTAAACAAGCCTAATAGTTTATCCATTTCATTATGAGTTATCAGTAACTTGGTTAACACCAGCACTTTTTAAAACTGCTGCATACCTATAAACATTTTAAAATTTGAAAAAGTTTCTTTGTAATAAAAAGGTTCTTTGCAATAGTAATTCTTTGACATTTTGTTTCTAAGTATTTTAAGACTTGCAGCTTATAGCTTCTCTGATCTCTATTAATGCTGTGAATAGCTTGAATATAAAACTACACAAATATTTTTGACAATTAGTTCATTTTAATTACTTTAAAGCAAAATGAACATCCATAAAAGGTAAATAAATGAACATTTAATTACAGAAATTTGCTATTGATTACTACAAATTATTTCTAGAATGGGCATGTTCTTTTACTACTCTTAATTATTATAATTAAGATTTTTGCATGTTAATTAGAATTGTTTTGGCATGGCAAATTCTACCCCTGTGTGTGTCTTTCAAAGTAGGTAGGCACACACATTCATAGTTTATTTTTTTTTCCCCCTGTATCTAGTATATGTAAATAAAGAAAAGAACTTCCTAGACTACGTTCAAATTAAAAAGGGGCATAATTCTATAAAGTCAAAATTAACATAAAACCAATTTAGACTTTTTTTCTGTTAGAGCATTAAGTATCTCAGCCAGAAACAAGAAAATTGAAACATTCATGACATATATTAGTAAAATAATGAAAATACTTAAGGATGAATACAATTTTTATAATCATAGACAGTATGACTAAGTAAAAAAATTATTAATAAGAAATCTAATCTTGTTTTAACCTAAAGCGTGAGAAATAACGTATCCTAACCTGAAAAAAATACACTGGATTGTTTGCCAGTGAATAGCTTATATACCAGCTAATGCTGTTCTCATTCTTACTTTAATTGCCCCAATAGTTTTATCTTTTGTAGCCCCTCCAATTTGTAAATTTGAAGTATTTCGCAGGAAGCCTGTTGGAGATGGGATGTAGAACGCCATCACTCTGAGAGTTTCACTCTCCGAGAGTTGCAGCAAACTGTAAGTTAGTGAAACTCTGCACGTATTAAATTAGAGCGGGAAACTCAGAAGTCCTGGGACTCAATATGGCCTGTAACTTTACTGCATGTCACTTGGGATCATATCATTTTTTCCTTCTACAATTACTTCTGACTAACACTCAGCTAGGCTTTAATTTATGGCCTACCAGTGTGTCTGCAAGAGCTATTTGGCCCTCAGTAAGGGAGAGGATATTCCAGGTTTAATTGAGTACATAAAATTCTACTTTGTGCCCTCTTGAGTCTTCCATGGAAACTGTGGCTCACTGAAGTGGACAGTAACCGTAAGGAGTGTACTTACTGCATTGAAGTTGGGGAAGAGATTGACTGCTGCAGCAGTGTCCAGAGGAAACGGAAGAAATGGTTTAATATCCAGCGACGGCTGCAAAGGTGGAGCAGGAGGACGCACTAGGGCTGGAAGAGCAGGGCTCTGGCATGTACCACCTACATAGAAAGAGACAGATGGCATTCAGTAAGTACTATGATTAGGGGGAAAAAAAAAAGCCAACATAAAAAGCAACAATAAAAAGCCAATATTGCATTAAACAAATACATTTTCATTTGTCCATGAATTACTGTATTAGTGAAAAAGAGCACAGCTGACTCAGTGACTGTTGGTTATAATTCTTTGCCAGTAATTACTTCAGGTATCAATCTATCATTCTTTAAAATTAGCTAATAAACCATTTCTCTCCCTGGATTATCTGGAACAATAGTTCAGCATATGTCTGATTTCCCTTTAGAACTTCAGCTAAGTCTCATTCTGCTGTAATTTCAGCGTTTCATCCCAACCCTATTGCTCAACCCTCCAAAGGCAAACTGCTCCAGAAGAAAAAGAACAACAACTAGCTGTTCGGCTCGGCAAAAGTCACGTCATTTGCAGACCTTTGATTTTTTAATTAAATGCTCACTTGTGGAGCTTACAGTTTCAGAGTCAACCTAAACCTCGCAAACACAACATACCTTGCTGCTTCAACAGCTGATCAATACAAATCTAGATTAAGAACAGTTTCAGCAGCCACCAAAATTCTGTTTACGGGAAGGTACTGATGACTACTTTCTGCTCTTGCAAGGAGTGGAGCCGATTCAGACTCTGTGCAGCAGAAAGCTCCTCCTGGCTAACACTACCAACCACCAGCTCTGTGGGAACATAATGCAAATGAAGAAATCCCCTTGCATACCAATAAGTCACTACCTGTTTGCAGCAGACCTTATTTTACTTATTTGTTTGCCCCTCACCACAGCTAGATAAAAGCTGGAAGGTTCCAAGCCTGTTCTCTGCTTCCAATGTCTCCCATGTTTTGGTTGTACTCCAAAACATCAATTCCCTGTTAATTAAAGACTATTTGGATCCTAGGAAACTGTTAAAATATGCCAGTGTTCTTCTAATCTGAGAGGCAGGCAACAGACTGTAAAAACCTGCTGGTAAGAGTCCAAGAAACAAAAAAAAAAAAAAAGGGGGGGGGGGGAGTTTTACCCCACTCATTGAACAGAGACGCAGGCAGACAGACCAACAGAGGGAGAGATCTGAAATCTGTTTCTTTTTTTCCTCTCATACATACAGACACTTCATTAGACAAGCTGCGTACATTCTTTAAGAGCCCAAATATAAAGCAGTCAGAATGATATATGGAATCTCTCCATATTTGGCCAGCAAATCTGCTGACAAGGTTTGCTATTTAATGTGTCTAATTGAGGGCTAACAGCGCAGGACTTAATTAACCAGTTGTAGCCGACCATCCAGAGTTCTGCTTCTAGGTATAAAATCAGCTGGAGCCAAATTTTCAAAGACAGTATTTTTTGCCAACTTTCAGCTCCTCTGTCAAGCATGAAAGGAAAACTTTACCTGCTAGCAAATGAAAGGTATTGGATTAGGGTTCACTCCAATCTCAGATCAGTTTTTGCCCTAGAGTAACTGCCATTTTTGGAGTAATTTCTACATTTACCTCAATGTAAAAGTGTATCAAATTATTCTTTGAATGCAGCAGTTAAGGATATGGGTAACAGAAAAGCAGAGGGCAAGCAGCTCTGCTTTCCATAGCCCACCCACATAGAATCATCAAGTATTTCATGATTGTCACTGGTTTGTCAATTGCTACATTCCCACAGACTTACTACAAAAACAGTATAAAAATAAATTTAAGAGGTCAGAATGATGATAAGGTAGTATTGAACATGCCAATCTTACCCCCTCTCAATAGGAAAGACCCATGAAGATATTTTTTAGATATTGCAAATACTTATTTTTTTCTCATGTAAAGCTTTCACAGGTCATGAAAGGAAGAAGTCACTCCTACTAATAAAAGCCTTAATAAGAAGTCTCCAGGTTGTACCCGAGATTGTACAGAATTACGCAGAAATGCCAAGGTGAGCATTTCCCTGGCAATAGGAAAGAATTTGAAGCTGATTAAACATCTGACAGCTTACAGGTGCAAATGCAAACTGGACTGAGAAATATCACCCATGCTTGGGGACCCAGCTTATCGAGTGTATTCTCTCAGTGCTATGGAGGACAGCCTCAGAGGTCCGCATTACCTACAGCAACAGTATTACTACTATCCCACACTCTTCTAGGATACCATGCCACAAAGAAAGAAATATTTCTATTCTGTGATCGTTCCCTGTGGCATGACTAGGCACTCACGCACCTGCCGCTGCCAGCCAGGGCAGCACAAAGTCATCTGGGGACGAGAACACGCTTTAAATGGAAAAATTCAGCCAGCTCTGCAGGACCTTGGCTGGGACTCAGAGCCTCTGGAACAGAGTTCAAAATCTACCACAGTCCTGGCTACAGTGGCACAGAAAATGAGTATGTTCAGGAGCACAGCTGCTCTCTGTTTTTGCAATAGTGTCAGACATGTCCCTTAATGATGGAGCATGTGATAGGTACCATGAAATTTGAGCTTTTGCTTGAAAGAAATTACTCTAATGTTTATGGTTGCAAAAATTAGCTTCTCTTTCCATTTAACATGCACAGGGTTGTAGTCTAGAATCAACGGCAACCATTTTTGTGACTCAGCTTAACTGAAAAACCTTTGGACAACATTTGAGAAATGTCACTGCTAACTATTTCCCATCTAATCCGGAAGCAGAGGGATGGAGAGGGGTAGAAGCCCACTGGGAAGTGTTCTTGAAAAGCACATGTAGATAAATTCTTATTGTAAAGAAAGCAATATCAAGGGCAGAAACGATGAGAAAAAGAAAACATGAGAACCAAGAAAGCCAAACTGAAGGTGAAGAAAGAGAGGCGCACTAAAACTCACAAAGTAGAAATTAGTTTGTAAATAAGTGGTGCTGTATGCGACAACAGTACACTTAGAAAATGCCTATAGCAAGACATAAGTCCTTTTTAGTTATCCAGTGTTACTGAACACCAGATCAAGGTGAGGAACCATAAAGATTGCTTATGACTGTTTTGGTGTTCTGTACGATAACCTTCTACAGAAAGACCTCCATAGCTTTCCCTGTGCAGATACAACACTGCTGATCAACACACAACGAAGGCTAAATATCAGCTTTTTTACAGATTTCCTACCAGCAAGGTCTGGAGTTCCACTTTGACCAATAAAGCTAGGATAACATCCCACACCACTGATGGACTCTGTCCACAGCCTGTGCTTGATGATCTGTATTATTACCTGAAGTTCAAATAGACATCCTTAAAAATAACTAGGTGCATGCAGGGTCTGACTTAAGAGATATAACAGCTCCTCCCAAATGTAGGGCAGTACAGGTCTAAAGTTATATTCTGTGAGTGGCATACTACAATTTCTTAAAATAGGATACTAATGTATTTACTAATTCCAACGTTACAAGTTAGTGATGTTATAGTCTAATGTCTTTCTAAAGAGGAAGGGTCTTTCCAGCCCATTCAGACCCTAAATGGGAGATGAATGCTCCAAACATTTGTGAAATCCATGTCAATGTTTTTACCTTAATTTTCTTTGTAGGAAACACAGGAATAATACATCTTAGAAGCTTAATTAGCTCAGCATTTTAATCAAGATTGAAGTAATCATTCATTTCTTCAATTTTCAAGCAATTTAAAACACAGGCAAGATAATCTCTTGGCTGGAGACACTGGCAATACATCCAAGGTAAGCGTGAACAAACAAGTTTGAAGCAAAGCTTGACACAAACCTTTGCCCCTTGCATATCTCATTGAGACAATTTTTGAGAACTCCCCCAGTGTCAATTAAAATGTGCATTTTTACACACGGATACACTTTTGCATCTCCAGTTGGGACTAGACATTTCGCCCTACCACTAGGTAATCTGTTTTGCAATACAACATTATGCTCTGAGCACAGACAGCCTACGTGGTACAAAGCCACGTGTGCAACATGAGGTTCATGCTCTTTGTGGCATAGCCTACTCGAGTGGTTCACCTTCAGAAACCACTGGTGTTATGAACTTCATCACTACAATACCTTTCTTGCCTGTACCTGGAACCAAGGGAAGACAACAGAAACATTCAGATGAACTGATGATTCCTGGAGGTTCAGCCTCAAACTGTCTGTTCCATAAGGAATTGTCACATTTTATTTGTTTTGAATTGGAATATGAATAAATACTCACTGCCCCCCCGCAGTTTTGACTTTAGAGACCATGTTTCACTACAGAATTGAAAATAGACTTTAAAATGAGAAGTCATTCCAAAAAGAGGAAACCAGATTTCTTTAAAACTGCTAAAGTTTTGACCTTATCTTAAAGATATTTTTGTCACAATTCTTTACAAGAAATTAACACCTTCTAGGGGAAATTTTTGCTTTCAATGAAATAGCATTTTCTGATAAGAAACTCTCACATGCAAATTTTTATGCCCGGTTCACCTCAAATATCCCTCAGATCAGTGCTAGGTAAAGAGTATAAACAAGCTGTAAGTACTGCCCCTAAAATCTAGATTAAGAGAAGCACAAAGACTGAATATGCACAAAGGAAACAAAAGAAAATAGTCTTAGAGTAAACAGACATGATAGAGCAGGGTGTTTTTCCTATACAGGATAATAAATAACAAGTTTCCTTAACATTTCTGGAGGAAGTCAAGATCCCTGTCCCTCAGGTCCCCTAACAAAGAGCTCAACAATTTGGCAACCGCATATTGCTATATTTTGTGAATTGGCTACAGAGGAAGATATGCTACATCTTCCCCTGCATAGCCTTTCCTCATGCACACTCTCATTCCCAATCCTTTAAACTCAACTGCAGGTTTAGTTTCCAGAAAAAGAATCACCAGATCTGTTATCAAATAGCCTCTCCTCAGGAAATACCCAGCCCAAATTTTGCAGACACAAATAATGTAGATAATTTTTTGCAATGCATTTGGAACTTGGAGGTATGTAAACTGGGCAGGAACTCTAAACTAATACCCCATTAATCTAAATCTTTTGCAGTTCTTCCATCACTGTTACCACCATAAACACCAAGTGAAAAAGCAAGTCTCTGCAGAATTCCATTTTCAATCCTTCA